TTCTAGTTCTTAGAAGAAATAGGAGGTATTTTATATGAACTAGAAACAAACTTCTTTCTTTAGCTATTCGGCAAAGAAGATGTATAATTTATAGGCAGTTCAACACAGTCTTTAAATTATAACAGTCTAGCCTTTAGAAAAAGAGTTCCCCATTAATAATTCTTTTTAAGCGAAAATTTGCACACAATTGCAAATACAAAATCTAAATCATTGGTACAGAATACAGAACATTAAAACTCCACCCAGAATAAGTATCAGTGCTAACTGGATTTAGTTTTCGCATTTAGAACGTAAGATAGCATAAAAGAAAAGATCTGAAAATATTACGAAAGGTTTAAAAGATAAGATCAGTCAGTACAATAATGAGATACTTTTTAAAGCTTTTGATGCATCTTGCATAAGTGAAGGGCTATTCCTATGTGCCATTTGATAGCCCATCCTTATGTGTAGCAATCAGCCCAGGGAAACTGACTCAAAAATATAACCTCATAATGAGAAAAGAAAAAAGTGGTATCTCGCACTTAAATCAAAATTCCCTAAATAAGAAAAGTAAAATCCTTAAAAATGAGATACTATGTTTACATGTCTTTTTATTGATACAGAAATCCAGTGTTAAGGAACATGATACTAAAATTTGCAATAAATACAATAATTCATTTATGCAATCAGCTTTTATTGTTTTTATTTCAATATATATAAATCAGTATTCTTCTGATAAATATGTCAGAAAAGTTAGCATTATTAAAATGTGGTTTCAGTTTACAGATTTGGCATATAAGTCGCGGCTTGATTCGTTATTAATTATCCGTCTGTGTTTTTAGCTTTAATCCTCTTTTCGTTTCCTATTTTTTACCTTTGTTTTGTTTTTCTTTGGCCTTATTTAAAACAATCTGACTCGTTTCTTCGATTATATTGAAATATTCTACCAACTTAACTACCTTACTTCTGTGGGTCCATTTCATCATAGAACTTTCTTTTAATTTTACTTAACGGGATTAATTGAAATGAAATGGAGGTTACTGTTGCTTTGCTTGCACTTCAGATACCGATTAATACAATTACCACCCACATTTCATCCTGTAAAGGACGAGGAAAATGTCAGATCCAGGGAACTTAACTTAATTCAATAAGAGCATTATTCAATTGAAAAAGGGTATCCAAGGCAAAGCTGTGCTCAATTTCTTAGGATTCGTTTTGCTGCTCAGTTTCATTCATTAACTTCATAGGTATAATTTTGGACGACTGGATTAAAACTGAATGATTCCTATCAGAAAGAAAACTTCCACCGCTATGAGAACCTGAAGTACGTTTTTAGGTTTCAAGACATCAAACTAGCTTGAATGGATTACTTGAAAATTATGTGAGTATTTGGCTGCAGTCTTCTGCTATGTTTCTAGAAGGCGGAGTTCTTCGATTAAATTGCAAAACGTTTTGGGTCAATGGTCACAAATATTTTTCGTGAAACTCAAATGATATCAGCACAGGCAACAAATTATAAAACGTATACACAAACAACAAATTATAGTTTTCCTTTATTATAGTACTAGTTTCCTGTAGCGCGGATCTTTGTTTAGCTATAACCTTCAATGTGACGGCACATTACTTTCATGAGCTGCAGTAAAATATGTTTTACGATGTTGGCTTCCATTGGTTTTAATTATTGATTTTCAGTGGCATGGGAGAGACATTTGTATGGGTTATGTTTCTTGGACATATCGTGAATTTTCCAACTTTAATTTGGTTCTGCAGCTATCATATGTTTCTAGTCTGGTCTTTATCCCCCTTATCGGGCCTTGTATTTTCCTTACATATTAGACTGAAACATAACTAACAAATTACTTCATATGCATTTCTCACTGTGTTATTCAGCCAAGGCAACTCAGTAACTAGTTTGCTTCCTTTATGAAAAAGTAGGTGAGGGGGAACAACTAAAATAAACAGTTTCTAGAACATTGACCCTCGGACCCGTCTCCTGAAATGATCTCCATCAAAGCTGAGATAGAGCTGGACGAAGTCGTACTGTTACTTAATATGGTGCTCACAGCTCATGCCAACGATAGATGCAGTATTGAGCGCCTTGCCCCGGTAATTTCGTAGGCTTATTTTGATTAGGTCAGACAACTGAGATAGGCCATCAGAAGAAAGGCTTTATTAAAAGCTATGTTTTATAGCTCAGCTCAACAAAATTTAATCACTAATTCCAAAGTAAAGCAACAAAAATCAGCGTTATATTTACAAAATTTTCACAGGACTAGTTTCGATGGTTTTACCGAACCACCATCCTCAGTTGCAAAACCGCAAATGAACGAGATAAGAAATAATGATTAGATAAGAAAGCCTGTGTAAGAATAAGCAAGTGGCGCCATCTGTTGGTGAAACCAGAACTCAAACATGATTTTTTTAAAGGCCGAAGGTAAATTTGAATTGGAATTAGGATCGTTAACTAGAACAGAAAGATTTTTATGAACGTGAAATGACTCTAGAAAATCCAGTTCTCCAATGGAAGATGTTTTTTGAATAATTTTGGCAGCATAAAAATTGAAAGTGTGATTTTCGGACCAAGAATGTTGAGCAACAGAAGTCTTCTGTGCTGTGGCCAGACGCCTTCACAAAGGGGGCCTATTCGCCCGCCTTCTTGAACGCTGCCTCCAGTTGAAAGTTGGCCACCGACGCCACCGTTTACAGTGGTGCAGAGAGCACAAAAAGTGGACAACTGATCAATGGAGTCGTTTCCTCTTTACAGATGAGAGTCGGTTCAGTACCAGAAGCGATTCTCAACGCGTTTTGATTTGGAGAGAGGTCGGGACCCGGTTTTATCCCAGTAACATCAAGGAAAGACACCGTAACGATGGTCCTGGAGTTCTTGTCTGGGGAGGCATTATGTTGAACGGGCAAGCTGAGCTCCACGTTTTCGACAGAGGGTCTGTAACCGAGGATCGCTATTGTCAGGAGGTACTCCTTCCCCAAATGCGTCTGTTCCGAGGTGCCATTGGCCCGTACTTAATTTTTATGGATGACAATGCACGGCCACATCGGACTCTTGCTGTTGAGGAGCTACTGGAAAGTGAAGATATCACTTGAATGGATTGGCCAGCGTACTCTCCAGATTTAAATCCCATCGAACATGTGTGGGATGCTTTGGGGAGACGCATTGCAGCACGCTTACATCCTCTGGAGAACACCCAATAACTCAAACAGATGCTGATTGTTCTTCCTCTTGGATAGACAATCATGAGTCACGATACTATGTGTTCAATAAAGCTTGTTTTTGTTTGATTCCGTACCGTATGCATTGTATTCCTTTTTCAGCTCCAATGCTTTCGTCATCCTTTACGTGCATAATATTCTCCATCATTTCTGCATTTCATGTCTCTCAGTTGATTTCTCGTGGAGTTATGGCAAAAAACCCTGCTGTTGCTTAAGTTTTGCACACCAGTGTATTATAAATGAGTCGAGGGTTCTTATGACCGTGAAGTGACTATTTTAAAATAACAAGCTAAACGCTAGCAAATGCAAACGGTCCTTCACTAAAACCAAATTGACACACAGATTTACAAAATAAGCTATTTTTATAATGCATTGTCAAACCTCTGTTCTTAAATTATACATCCGCTAGTTATTTTATACCCCACCTAATTTGCATTCTGATAAAGACTAACGATAGCTTGCTATGAATAAATTTTACGTGGTAAAAATAGGTAACAGAGCTGCTAAACGAGATTGTTAAAGTTTACGAAGCCATCGACATCGAAATATCCATTTTATGTAGCACATTTAGTTTGATACTGTTTTATATTGAAGTGTAATGAAGCCTGCATTAAAGCAGTAATGCATTAAAATAACAAGCGATTTATGTATGCAGCAATTTCAGTGTAATTTATGAAAGAACTGTTTTCATATAAAATAGTTCATCAGGTCCTTGATATCAGCATGTCAATAAGTATTTTACTGGTATTCACGTGGTTCTATAAATCAGCTGTGTTACTGAAAAGTCTAAAGTAGCCATTTTGAAAGGGATCAACACCATATGCTTAATTTCTATTTAAGTCAATTGTATAACATTATATGTGGAATAGCTGTCACTATATTACGATGACCGTGATAAAAGAAAAATTATGTCGAATTATACGACAATCATTATAAATTATTAACATTTGATACTGATTATGGGCACTTATTAATTTTGTATATATAACACGAAATTGCGTATTTTTTGCGTGTGACTAATACAAACATATCATCATTTAATGGACGTTAAATAAAACACCCAGACCAAATCATAAATATTGAAAATTTGCATAATTATATCATTAAATTTAAACGCTTATAAAAGTTGTCATTAATTTTTTTACTGCATTGCATATTAATAAATTAAATATGATCAAATTATGGCTTGTGGCCCAATTCAGTAATAATTAACTATATGATCTCAAAATTTTGATATCTATATACAGAGTAATTTAATACACAGAGTAATTCAATTAAAAATCAGAAAAAAGTATTCAGAGATATTAGCCCATATTAATAAAAAATGCATTAACTTTTTCAGACTCATATGCTGAGTTATCATTTCCGTGAATCATTTCCTCCTATTCGTGTTTTAATATGTAAAGTTTCTGGGTAAGCATTATTCAAATAATAACTTAATTCCTGACAAAATATGATCCAATATACATAAATATCATCATAATAATATATCTGATAAATTCTCAGATGTGGAGAAATTTAAATTCTGATTAAATTTCATAATTTATTTTATCCAGTTTCCTGAAACAAATTTGTATTTTCTGAATAATGACACAAGAGTATTCGCAGAGTAACAAAAACTTCCAAAGACCAAGCCGAATCAGATAAAGAGTGCAAAGGTTGGACTCTTTCGCATCTCAAATCTGAGACGTCTTTTCGTGATATAATGCTTTGTTGTTACTTAAAAATCAAATTATTGTTATGTAATGTGCAATGTTCTGAACGGTTTTTAAGCAAAAATAAAAATAACAAACCCAGAGCTGAATAGATGACGTATCCTTGGTCGCCTATGTAGGCGCACTGCGTGTCGTTCTGTTTCTTGGCTCTATCATGCCATCCGAAGATAGGCGGACATGTGATGACAGCGCTTACCAGCCACACCACTCCGATCATGACGAGTGCCAACCGGACGCTTCTCTTCACTGCGTAGGCTAGAGGCTGCGTGATAGCAAAGTACCTGGGAAAAGAAAATGCCATTTGTACCAAAATCAGATGTATTTCAGTGCAGTGTACAAGGTTACTTAACAGCCAATAAACATTAACAAATTATTGTTTTACTTCCGGAACATCTTGGATCAAATATACTATAGTAAAAGGTAATTTGCTGTTAGAAAAGTCTTAAATGGAGTTTTTTCAAGATCTTTTCGGCTGATTCTTTACATTACTTTGTCATTTATCATCTTCTCAAACAGTATTTTTTGCCAGAATAACTTTATTTTCACGCCACGTGGCAAATAGCTAATTTCCGAAGGATTGCTTTCCGATGTCGCAAGATCTTTAATTCATTTCCCAAGTTATAACTGTATACTTGAGAAACTATCCAATTTTAAAAACAAAAACTGTTGTTAATATAAACACATCATTTCGCCATTTGACATAACTGAGCTGCCAACCCTCTCTGTTAAACTGCGAGACTCGATTTTTTATTATAAGCTTTTGTTTAGCTCTCTTATGGTGTTTATCTCTACGGACAAAATTTTGAAATCGATTTTTAAACTACTTCCTTATAAGTTACCAAGCTCAAATTTTGCACAAACACTGTTTGTGGATGACTCATATGCGAAGAAGCAACATTTTTAAATATTTGATTTAGATTTTCTTTTTTAATCATTTCATCTTATTCGTGTTTCGAATAAGATGAAATGATTAAAGCTTTGATGCGATTTTTCGCACATATCTTAAGAAACAACCTAAAAATCTCAGAATTAACCTATTTTTGTCTTAGGATAGAGGCAAAAAATCGTTTTGATGAAATTTGTACGAAAGCTTAAAAAACGTTTTTGATATTTTGGTTAATTTTAGAAAAACATTCATTTTTTTCTATTTGACGTCCATTATTTTAAACGTTCAGCCTTACAACATAATTACTTCATTCCTTTTTTAAAGAAAAGGACTAAAACTAATTGGGCAATTTTCTATACTTTTTTCCGTTTAAAGTATACAGTGGTAGGAAGTAGAAAGGGTGTAGAGTCTCGTATTCTTTATTATAAACTTACCAACTCTAGAAAACCTGCAGAGGTATTATCCTCGTGTCTTTAACCAGTTGGCTGACAAAGTCAAAGAAGTGTGTAAATAGCCCTTGCATTCAATCACAAATAATTAACAGTTGACCCTACTTGGGTTTACATAAGCCAACATTTCTGGCTTAACTTAAATAAATAATGCTAAAAATAAAATGTAATTATACTAGCCTAACGGCTCACAGTACAAAGTAAACGCGCAAGAAGGCTCTGGCTCGTAGAAGCCGGCGCGACAAGCTTTATGGCTAGATGAGTTCTTCTACACATGAGACTTGTCCCCAGAGAACAACAGAAAAGTTGTTTTAACTTAAAGTTAACTATTAGTCAAAATAGACAAATAAATCCTCACAAGGGAAAACCATCGGTTCTTCCTTGGACATCGCTTGAAAACATATCTTCAAGGTTATAATATGATTAGGTAGCACTACTTTTGTCCTTTCCCTTGCTAGAAAGAATTACTTTGAAAGAAATTAAGTTTAATGTAAAAGTCTTCTGCATTTTGTAAACCTTACTCCTTTCCCCAATTCATTGCAGATAGATTTTGCATTTAATAATCATTTTCTGTTATCAATCTAAAAAACAACAAAGACTTTTACGACTGATTAGAGTTTAAATTATTTGTAATCTGCTGTGGGATTTTTAATCTTTCCATTTTGTGAATTCATTTAAATTTTTCTCTAATTTTAATGTAAAGTTACAAATAATATATTTTATCATTAAGTGACAGCAATAGGAGAGTTCTTGGAAGTACTAAAAGACGGCATAAAAGAGGGATAAAAGGGTTGCTGAAAAAATTCTTCAATTGAGTATAACGTGCAATTCAGACTAAAAAGAAGAAAACAGTAAAACTGTTTTTTTTTTAAATAAGCTCTTATTTTAAGCTCATAAAATTGTTAATGAACTAAGCGGAGAAAAATTATTTACCATGAAACAAAATGAGTAAATAGTTAATTTTTTATTATCATTGCATAGGTTATGGGAACAAATTACGTTAGATAGGCTGTTGAAATATGGCAAAAGTATCTCTGTGATTAAATAATGAAGAATCAGTATATATATATATTTATGTTTCTCCAATTATGTGATAAAACGGTGGTACTTACAGCTGCTACATTTCGAACAATCTTAATCCTTCACGCGAACATGTACACTTCGAAGCCGAATTTTAATGTCGAATTCGTTCTTTCTTCATTTCGTACTTTTTATGAATTTAAGAAACTTTTGTTAACCAAATTCAGCGATTTTAAAGCGAATAGTGTTATTGCTGCTAATTTTTATCTCCAGTGAGCAAACCTGTTGCCGTTCTGCCAAATGAAAATACGTTTATTTCACATTTTATCAAGCAGTGCGTTGCCACTGCCTAAAATAAAGTACTTTTATTTTTCACTCGCCAATGCAATACCATTCGACACACGCACACACACACACACACACACACACCACACACAAAAAAAAAAAAAAAAAAAAAAAAAAAAAAAAAAGTGTTTTCAAATTTAATGTATTTATGGTAAAATACGAGTAACAAACCAGTGGAGTATTTAAAAGCAGTAAATGTATTTCTTAAGAATATTTTTTTTTCATTAAACAATTTTTTATACTACAATATATGACTGATTTAAAATGAAAATTCATTAAAATCGTGAGAATTATAATTAGAGATACTTATTAAGTATTTTTATGAAATTAGATAAGCTGGACTCATTAAAATCATTATATATTTTTCCTTCTTAGAATTACTATTTTTAGCGGCTAGTTCCGTAAGCGTTTGGTCTTTATAAATTTACCAAAGTCAGTCAGTGCTTTTAGTATTCGTAATGTGAAATTGTAGATAATTTTTTAAAGATAATTATTTAATCTCTTATTCCATTAAACTACATGATAAATTATTTTTCTCCTATCAGTTCATTAATTATGAGTTTTAAATAAAAGCTTATTTTATAAAATTTTGTTTAATATTTTTTATTCGTATTACTTTGCGGGTTTCTATTAATTCTCCAAATCTCAGGATTTTCATCCGTTCTGCTTTTAGACGAATTCTCTCGTACGCATCTTTGCGTAAAAGAATTATTGAAGTAAAACGAAATGTAGTAAGAAAATTTTAGACAATAGAACTTAAAAAGACTGATATTACAATTTCTTAATGAAATTTCCCGAGCGATTCTCAGGCCATTGTTTCTAATTTATAGTTGATCTTATCTGTTTTATCCATTACAGAGATCTATAAAGCATTCCATAACTAACATTGGATAAGAAAATCTTATATTAATTAATTTTAATAATTAGTATTTAATTTTGCTTTAAATATTTAAATGGAATATGATGGAGTTTAAACTTTGGTTATATTTACATGAATTATTAATTTTTTATCATCTTTAAAAACTGAAGCAGCTTGAAAAATAAAAGTCCCCCCCAATTTTTGTCTGCATAAATTTCATGGAAATTAAAAAATCAAACGAAATTAGCCAATTTAAATCTGTAACAGCTGAAAAATACATGTTTTTTCTTCAGAATAGATTTTACTTCAGAATTATGTTTATAAGCTTTTTAAAACGAATACCACGTTATAAAGGGACCTTAAGTCAAATATATCAGGGGTCTGTTAGAAGTCACATAATCGCTCTCGCTATGGAGAAGGATTTCGTTCTTCATATTTCAAGCTTTGGCATAATTTAAAATTATTTTACGTTTTTAATGCGTCTAAATGTTAATTTTCATGAACAATTGAAGTAGTACTATAATTAATATATTGTTTGCCATGGCAAACATTACATACCTTGATTTATAATAGTTTGTCTTTTTCCATTTTATGTTTCACCAAACCCAATATCTCAGTTTCATTTATCTCTTCAGTGTGATGTACACCTTATCCATAGAAAGTCTTAAGCTGCTTTTATTTCCATAACCTTTGGATGTAGACATATATTTACAGTTATATTTTTTTAATGAAGCAAATGATTTTTATTTTAGAAATTGTAGGTAGAAAAGATCAATTTTATAAAAGTTGCAAAATGTTGCTTTTATATGGTCCCACGATACTTTTAGTTATACTTAGTCAGTTTCCTAAAATTCATATTCCTTATAAAAGATGAAACACAAAAATTTTGAATTTTGTACGACAAAAATTGACCGAGACTTTTAGTTTCAAAGTTTAGAATTTTGGCTGTTAACTTTGGTTTTTATTCAGGTGAAAAAGTAAATTAGGATAATTCGATGCTGATGTTTTTTCTTTTAATGTTATTCAGTTATATTCTTTGTGATTATGTAGTGTGTAACATTCTTGTATTAGTAATTATGCATGCAGATATAATTTCCGTGCAACAGAAACATTTTTAAATTTGTAATATATGATTCTAATGTACCATTTGGCTGCGTGCCAATACTGATTTCTCCCAGAAACGAATTCTAGTATATGCTTCTGTGAATTAGATTTAATTTTTTGAAAAATTTCGTATAGATACTTTTATGATAGTCTAAACAACAATAATCATCAATTGATCTATTGCTATCAAAAACTTATTGTAAACTGATTATTAGTTTTTAGTTAGGTGCAAACGCAAATATTTCATTTTTTAATTTATGAATGACCTCTGAACGTGATCACAAGGTTTAAAATTAAATGTCTCAATAAGTAATTGCCGTATAGGAGTTAAATATATTTTTTAATGAATATAAATTTTTATTAAACATAACTATAAGAACCAGAGGATCTTACAAAAAGTTAGAATTACAAAAATTTATTTTTCAGCTTTTGCAGGGTTTTACTTTAATTTTATAATAGTTATTTTTATTTTGGAACAAGCCTTTCCTATAATTATAATTTCACACCTATGTTTCCTTAACAGAATGAGTTTGTAGCACTGAGATTTATGCAAATAAGGTAGAAACGAGTATTTAAGCTGAAGTCTGGGTCACTTCAGTAGGAGAGAGTGTTCTGCTTTTCTCCCACTTTGTTAGTCT